GCCAAATCAGGAAATGTCCGCCCCGATCACTCGGCACTAGAGAATGCAAAGAAGAGTCGTTTGCATTTGGAACAAGGATTCTTGAACCATTAATTAGCAGCTAGGTAAATTAGAGAAGGAAGCATGGCGAAACTGTCTATATTTGGGGATCTAATGAATAGAAGTCATTCAATGCCCCATTGGAATAGTGGCATATCGTCACATAGAATATAACGGAGCTGACATGTGGATGAAAAGCTTTAAAAGGCCTCTCGTTCACCTCCTTGTTAGGAGAGAAAGTTTCCTGTGGTTGGATAAAAAGCTGCTGGGTCCAGGCAAACTTCAGAGCCCTGCAAGGCTATAAAGTTTTAAAACAGCCAGATTTCTTGCTTTAAGAACCAGAGTCCTCCAGAGTAGGGACAAAGAACTTCCACAAATAAGAGCAGTGATCTGAAAATCACCCAGAGAGCAGACTGAACAAGTATACAGGTCAACCACTTGCAATCTTCCCCTTGCAGCAAGATGTATTTTATGGCAACTTAAATCCTAGCGACTATCCCTGAATAATTACTAATGACAATCAGTACATCAGGATCAAAGGTATTAAATAAGTGAAATTATGCTTTCCTCTTACCCCATGGAGTTTCATGTATAATCCGCAGGCGTTGCACACGGGTTCCCCTTCTGCATTCCTTCTCCAGAGGGTTGTGTTGGTTGTGTGACAATTAGTGCAGCAAAGACCAGCTCGTCGAGATGAAGACTGCAGAGTAAAGCAGAGAAATATTCTAAGAACAGAAACACATTTTGGCATGGAGTGGGGGGAGGAGGCAAGAAAGAGGGATTACGAGACATCAATTAGGAGGCAATCAGAGATGAAAACCATTTCTTGAAAGATGAAAAGTCTTGATTCCACATTAAAGACAACACAATTCACTGTAAGCAATAACAATCTGCTGAGATCATGTCTTTTTGCAGGGTGTATGTTTTTTTTAATGGCTATGACATAGTCTGGTAATATCCCTTTAAATCCTCTTCCCCGAATTTAAGTGGACTTTTGCCAGGGAAAATCTTTCACAAAGCAGGATAGGAGAAGCTAAGCCAAAGATTTAGCACTGTGCACACTTTCTCTCTTTTTCTCATGCACAAAACACACACACACACACACACACGCAAATCGATCTATCTGTCCGTCCATCCAGATCTTTGGGAGAGTGTTTCATGCTGGCGAAGGCGTTATTTATTTTTTTATTTATATATCAAATTTGTCACCACCCATCTCGTTAAAAAGCGGCTCATTAGCAAAACACCCCTTTGAACCTGTTTCACACAACCACCCAGTTGCCATAGCCTCGTGTACACGTGCTAAGCCTGTGCTGAAGCCCATTCAGCCTTTTGCAAATGTGCAGGAAATTGTGGGGTGCAATGATATAAGACAGATCAAGTTGCCTCTTTGCTCCATTGGGCACATCGCACCTCCTTTGTGGTGCAGGGCACCTCCGCAAGGCAAATCCGAGCCCCCTCTTCCAGGCCAATGCTCCCCTCCACACCCAATATATAGAATTGTGCCAAAGAAAGCTATGAAACTATGGACTGAAGGATACCAAGAGTGACCTCATAACACAGAGGGGTCAAAGCCCTCTAATACTTAAATGGAAGGCTGAGATTTCCAGAAAATGTGGGTCCATGTAATTGCTGGCTAAATGTCCCCCCTCCCCCGTTCTGAGCTCGTGAGCATGTCCCAAATAGCAAGGAAGTGCTATGAGCTTGGTCACAAAATGGCAGCCACGTGGATGTGCCAAATCAGGAAATGTCCGCCCCGATCACTCGGCTGCTATTTTGAAAAAAACACATTTCTTCCATAGAAATGGCTGGTTTTAATCCCTTGACCTGCCTGTCAGATAGGTCAGCTGGACTTCAATTCATCCTTTGAGAACAAGAACTTGGCTGTCACCTGCACAGGAGACATCCTATCTCATAGGGTCCTTGGACCACGGTGTTGACTGCATTAATTGCATTTTGTAACATTTTCACTGGTTCCTTTTCCTTCTCTTTTTGCCCCATAGGAGCGTCTATGGGAGGGAGTGTGCAGGTCAAAACAGGCAAGATGGCAGCCAGGGCTGTGTGATCCAACCCCCACCCCTTCCCCCCCTTTTTATGTGCACTAATGTGTGCAAAAAAGGCTTTCACACAACTCAAGAAAAGTTGCGGCTGCTTTCAAGATTGCTTTAATGAGTGACACATTAAAGCAACTGCATGTTTTTCTCCCTTGAGCTGCTAAATGACCATGTATTGATAATCTAGGGAGTTAACCAACTTTTATTCCCATGTTAAACTCCAAGGCAGAGAAATAAAGACGTACTTGATAAATCAAAGGACAACACTGAGACTTAGCTCAGACATTTTCCTAGGTTCAAAGTTCATTGTATTGATGGAGACTTTCTGGCTCTTTTGCTTCTAACACTTTAAGAATTTTAAAAAGAGAAAGCTCTTAAACGTAAACGTGCAAACATGCAAAAATTTGCATTAATATCATTTCCCTGCTCTCAAGGGTAGGAAACAGATCCTGATCGCTGCCTCAAACGAGCTGTTCCAGTTGAGTTGTTGTTGCTCAAATGCATTAATGCAAGTTTCAGGATCAGATAACCGAGAGGCGTCCAATTATCTGATACCAGCAATAATCACTACAGACACAGAGACATCGAGTGGCAGAGCAGAAGAGGCAACTGTGAGCTTCCAAAGGTTTCTACAATATGACCGCAACTCCCAGCATCTCTCACCATGGGCCACACCAACTAGAGGACACTGGGAGTTGTAGTTCAGCAAGAGCAGGAAGGCCACCGTTTCCCCATTCTTCGCTAGCCTGACCTTTTCTTGACATGCTAGCTGTCAAGGGACAATTTTGGGGTGGTGGGGGAGGATCTCTACACCACCACCTTCTCCAAGTGGCTGCTTATGATGCTACATCATGTTGACGGGCTGACCCTGTCTTCCTTCAGCTCTCACTTCAGGTGCTTCAGAAATACTTCGTAACCTTCGCAAGAGAAAGTCTCTGCCTGTGATGATCACAGTCCAGCTGCCTTGGAAATTATGTACACTCCGAAGAATTTCATATCTGTTTACTTTACTATTAAAAACTTGGGACCATAAATGATGGATTAAGTGAAGGAAGCAGGAACCCAAATGCCAGGCTCGGCAAACTTCATAGTGCAGATCGGCATTTGTGGAAAATGGATGGTGTGACAAGGCAGAGTAGACGTTTCAACGTTCGGGTTGCAAAAACAGTTGTTAAAGTAGAAATTGCACCCACATTTGAAGCTGCCTTGCTTCCCTTTCTTGGCCTTGGATCACTGTTCCTTGCAAAAGATTTGTGGTTAACTTTCTGCTTCTTCTCCTGACTTCAAGGAACAATAAAGAGGCTTCTGATCTTGGAAAGACGAGCAGATTTGTTCCGGCATGTGCTTTGGGGGATTTCAACCCACCTCATCAGATGCAGGAAATGTTGCCCTTTGCTGATAGATTTTAACCCGTGTGTAGACAAAAGTCTCCTACTTCATCAAAACAACCAACCCCCCAATCTGTGAAAAAGAAGAGGAGCATTTTTGTGACGGGTTGAATGTCCCATCACATGTTTTGCTTCACTTTAAAATGCTGCAAGGACGACGAGAGGTGGCAGGATTTTATTTTTACTTTTACTCCTTCATTTATGGGCCCTCGGTCATGCCATGCATCCCCAAGCAGGAGACCATGCTCCCTTCCTTTTCTATAACTTAAAATCTAATAAAACGTTGGAAAAGGATTTGGATATAATCACACGGGAAGCCATTCGTCGTAGAACAGCATCATTTGAAGTGGCCAGACAGGCGGGGAGTATAATGGTTTCGAATATGTGTCACCATTTTAATAAGGTGGGTTGATGCCAGATCTCTAGGAATGGATGTTCTGGAGAGTGGGTGCCACAGCAGAAAAGGCCCTCTTCCTGGATGTCGCTGCTGTTCTTAGCATTTGTCCCACTTAGTTGCAGGTCCACTTATTGTGCCCTGTTCATGTGGTGAAGCTGAGAGCGCATGACACAACGAGTCTTGTTTTTCAGCTGGCTTGTTACAGAGCCTGAGGCTGGTGGGGCTGAGAGAGAGTGATGGGCCCAGGATCCTCCAGCCGGCTTCTGTGCCTATGGGGAGGACTAGATCCTGGGCCTTGCCACTTCTAGTCCAGCACTCTAACCATTACACCACATTGCCTCTCGCTTTCTTCCTGGTTGCCAAATGAATTTCCACAGGTTGTGACAGAATCAGGAGGTCTTTGGTTGAGGATGGAGACACTCAAGTCAAGGTTGGACACCATCATTTGGGGATGCTTCAAACTGAGTTCCTGCACTGTGCAGGAGATTGGACTTGGTGGCCTCATGATAGCTGCAATGTTGGTATGAGACCCAGTTTGCTTGATGATTATGGCACAAAGTAGAAACTAGGAGATGGTGAGTTCTGGTCCTGCCTTAGGCACAAAGCCAGCTGGGTGACCTTGGGCCAGTCCCTCTCTCTCAGCCCTGGGAAGAGGGCCAGGGCCAACCACTTCATAGCAAGATGATATCTAGGTATAATCTTGCCATGAATGAATGCTCACAAGACTATAGTTCATAAAATACACTATTCTAAGGATCATTTCCATTATAAAGGAATTTAGTAGAAATTGTCTATTTAAAGCGGAGGACTAGTGTTCTGCTCCTAAAAATCATGGTCACTATTGTGTAAGATAATCCCACTGAGATCATCCTGGAAGCTTAGCAAGTCACCTTCAATGGTTGGCCTGTAGAAAGGAAACAGGATGACCTTGGAGTTCCAGTCTGAGTGCCAAATGGTGAATACGGTCCACTTCAGCACTCAGAACAAGGTGGCCTGTTCGACCTCCTAAGTATCTAGACCAGTGTTTCTCAACCTTGGCCGCTTTAAGCTGTGTGGACTTCAACTCCCAGAATTCTGGCTCCAGAATTCTTGGAGTTGAAGGCCACCCCGCCTAAAGCGGCCAAGGTTGAGAAACACTGGTCTAGGTACTTAGGAGGTCGAAC